GTTTCAAATATACAGTTATTATGCAACCTTTTTTCCCCATTCCTTTCTTTCCTCTGCTGGAGCCTTGGGAAACACAATATCAGTCGAAGGGTTTCAGAGCTGAATCACTCCCAAGGACTGGCCAGACTCGTTCTCTGTGGGCAGCACCGTAGCCCTCTTCATCAAAGTGATGCCCTTTGCTCATTCCTCACCATCCCCCCAGCGCCCGCCCCCACTGTATACAGTGGCAGGCAAGGAGCCACATTAGGTCACAGGATGAGAACTAGTTGAAGCTGCCTGGGACAGCTCTAGCATATCCATGCCTTGGCCTTGCTTCACTGAGGCTTGAATAATGCACTAATAACCAGCTTCTGAAGCACACAAAGGCTTTTGGAAATCCAGAGATGAAAGACACTTTGTGCTGCTACTCCTATTGCAGTAGAGAATACAGGCATAGGTATTTCCACAGGGACTGGCCATTTTCTTTGCATGGAGCATGTAATGAAAATGACATACGGGGGGTCTAAAAAATAAAATGTCAGTGACAGAAGGCAAATTTATTTTGAAACAAGAAGAGACAGTATGCAGTCTGAGTTTCATGCTTGGCTCTTTCTCAGCATTATTTTTTTTTGGAAACAAGAAAAAGTCAGTCCTTGTGAATTGTGGCATATTGTCCAATACTAAACCATCAGGAGCTGAAATCAGATTGACACACGGTCATAAGGAGGTGAGGTGGGGAAACTGCCGTGTATTTTCTTCTCCTGCCTCTCTGGGTTTGTTCGTTTAGGCTGGAGAGTCAACTGCAATGCAGTTCCCAACCCAATCTTCCTGTGAGAGCCATAACCAGGGTGGGGCAGCTGGGGCTTTTCCTAAAGATTGGCATGAGGGGCATGTTTCCTCTCTGAAAGATGCCAGAATCTGCTATACTATAAACTTCCTAGTCCTTTGCTGACTGACCCCCCTGCAAGGGCCATGGAGGTAATGGATGGCCTCTGGGAGAGGGAGAGAAAGCAGGGTCTTTAGCTAGCTGAGGTTAGAGTAGGGGACAGGACAACCCCTCTCTAGATGTGACTGCATCTGTGTGTGCGACTCATCTCTTCTGGGACCATCATCCCAATCCTCAAATTGTCCAAAGTACTGGGATTCCCGTACACAGTATCAGCCCCTTCCTCAGAAATGGAAAGGACCATGGCCAGTCCTTACTGATTTATCTTCTCAGGTTCAGTGTTAGTATATATCTCGTATATTTGATATTTCATTTTTCCCTTAGGAAGACAATTCAATTCAATTCAACTCAATGAACATTTATTAGGCTTTAATACCTTAAGCAGTGACAAGCATTATGGGAGATTTTTGGTAGGGGCTGGGTACAAAGGAAAAAACAAGGCTCTCACTGACCTCAAGAAGTTTGCGTTTTAAAGGAATTGGAATTTTACATCTTGTTCAACCCCTTTCTTTTGCGAATAAGGAAGCTGGGCCCCAGATAGGGGACATAATTTATCTAAGGTCACGCAACTGTGTTGGAATATACTGTTGTTTAAGAAATAAACTCTCATAGACCAAGGATTTCATCTCTTGAATATTCAACATGACACACTGGGGACAGTTAGCTCCTTAAATATTTTAAGTTTGCTGCTGCTGCATGAATCAGTCTAATCATATTTAAGTGGCTGTAGTCGTCAGCTGTTATGCAGACCACTACAGATAGTTTAAAAAAAATATATTCTTCTCAGTCTTATAATAAGCTGCTAGTTTAATGAAAAAGACAAAATCCCCAGAGAATTCCGATCAATGTCCACTCCCCACCCTGAAGCAGCAGTACGGAGAAAAGTTCTGGCCTAGGACTCAGGATACCTTGGTTCTAACTGTGCCACAAACTAGCTGTGTGACCTGAAGCAAGTCAAGTCATCTCTCTGGGCTTCCATTTCCTCATCTTTAAAATGAGGGAGTGGGACAAGAGGTCACTAAGGTCCTCTGTAGCTCTACCACTGTCTTCACTAGGAGACCTCATCATCCCTCAAGATCAAATCAGCCCCAGGACTCACAACTCCTCAGGCCTTTCTGCCCCTTGGATTGGAGGACAGAGCAATGAACTCCAAAGCCTCCATTTGGGAAGGGGGCCCAGCAGTCTACACTTTTCTCCATCATGTCCTAGTCCCCCACCACCATGTTTTCAACTTGCTTTTTTTTTTTTTTTTGCAATTGGGGTTAAGTGACTTGCCCAGGGTCACACAGCTAGTAAGTGTCAAGTGTTGAGCTTGCTTTTGTGTGTTGTCTTCCAACCTTAGATTGTAAGCTACTTGAAGGCAGGAATTATCTTTTTTGAAACAGTATACCCACTGCTTAGTACAGTGCCTGAGACATCATAGATGTTAAATGTGTGTATTGGTGTACTAACTATAAAAGGAAGCAGTCATAACATATCAGAATGGTCCACCTAGTTCTAATACCCCTGCAGCTGGGTTATTTGGTCAATAGAGATATGCTCTATGTCAAATGCCACTTGGCAGTTGTATGGCCTTGGTCATCATTTCCTTGCTCTGCGCCTCAGTTTTCCCACCTATAAACAGTAGCCAAAGTCAAATAGATAGTAAGTAGCCCAGGAAGGATTCAAACTCCAATTCCCATGCCTATTCCACTATATTACTAGCATCAAAGATACTTCCAGCTCTGATATTCTATGACTACATGCTTCAATTTCTCCCTGCTCTCAAGATTGCCAGAGGTGAATCTGTTTGGCCAAAAATAGACAGAACCATACACATAAATGGAAGCACTTTACCTATATGCCAGAAGGATGGAAGATTTTTTAAAAATATCGCTTATGTTATTTTGGGGAGGGGAAAGGTGAGTTACAAAGGTTCTATTGGACTCTCTCTTCTCCATTCTTCTTCATGTCCTATCACTCAAGTGCCTCTGCCATTATCTCCTCCTTCACCACTGTCTCACATAATAAAATAACCTTACTCCTTACCAAGGCTAACCCCTCTAGTTTTTCAAATGACCTTATTCCAACCCATTTCCTCCAACAGATTGCCCTCTCTATCATTCCAACTTTTTCACCTATTTCCAATCTCTCCCTGTCTACTGGCTCCTTCCCTAATGCCTACAAACATGCCCAATTTTTCCCCATTCTCAAAAACCCCTCACTCTCGCCCTCTATCCCTGCTAACTATCATCCTATACCTCTTCTGCCTTTTTCAATTAAACTCCTTGAAAAGGTTCTCTAAAAAAGATGCCTCCCCCTTTTTTCCCTCCCACTCTCTTCTTAGACTCTTGAAATCTGGGTTCTGACTTTATTATTCTACCAAAACTGCTCTCTCCAAAGTTACTAATGAGTCATTAGTTGCCAAATTTAATGGCCTTTTTTCAATCCTCACTCTCCCTGACTTCTCTGTATCCTTGAACATTGTTGATCCCTCTCTCCTCCTTGATACTTTCTTCTGTATAGGTTTTCAGAACATCACTCTTTCTTGGTCTTCCACCTATCTAACTGACTATTGCTTCTCCATCTCCTTTGTTGGATCCTCTTCCGTTGACTCCCCTCAGGGTTCTTCTGTCTTGGGACCTCTTCTCCCTCCTTACTACTTGATGATCTTATCAACTCCCATAGATATAATTTTCGCCTTTATGCTAATGATTCTCAAATCTACCCACTCTGCCCCCATCTCTCTGTTGACTTCCAATCTCATTTGTTCAGCTGTCTTTCAGATACCTTGAACTAGATATTCAATAGACATCTTAAATGCAATATGTCCAAAATGGAACTCATTATCTTTTCCTTTCAAACCTTCTCCCCCTCCTACCTTTCCAGTTACTGTAGAGGGCAACATAATCCTCCTAGTCCCTCAAGTTCATGACCTAAGAGTTATCCTGGATTTCTCACTCTCTCTTGCTCCCCATATCCAATCTGTTGCCAAGACCTATCAATTTCACCTTTGTAACATCTCTTGAATACACCCCACTTCTCTCCTCTGACACTGCCACTACTCTGGTGCAGATCCTCATCACCTCATGCCTGTCGGTCTGCCTGTCTCAAGTCTCTCCCTTCTCTAACCCATCTTCCATTCAGCCACTAAAGTGATTTTCCTAAATGAAGATCTGATCATGTCACACACACACACACACACACACACACACACACACACACACACACACCCCACTCTGTAATCTCCAGTGGCTCCCCATTGCATCCAGGAACAAATATAAAATGTTCTGTTTGGCATTCAAAGACCTTTATAACCTAGTCCTTTCCAGTCTTCTTAAACTTTACTCCCCAATACATCCTTTTTGATCCAGTGACATTGGCTAATTCGTGACATTCCATCTCTTGGTGCTGGGCATTTTCTCCGGCTATGTCTCATGCCTGGAATACTCTCCCTCTTCTGCTCCAACTACTGACGGCCCTGGATTCCTTCAAGTCCCAACTAAAATTTCATCTTCAACTGGAAGCCTTCCCCAACCCCTCTTCATTCTAGTACCCTTCCCATTTATCTTGTCTATCACATGCTTTGTATATATTTGCTGGTATGTTGTCTCCACCATTATATTGTCAGTTTCTTGAGGGCAAGGACTGCCTTTTGACGCTTTTTGTATCTGTATCTGATCGATTAGTTGATGCAAAGGTATTATGTAATTGCCAGAGTGTACAGGGTGTTCAGAGAGAACTAACACCTCTGGTGTGAGGGTTTCCTGAGCACTTTTCAGAGCCGCTCATCTACCTTTGGCGTCCACCTCTCACCCAGCTCTCACCTGTGGCTCCAAGAAGCTGTGGCATGCAATGAGGCCACACCCCAGTAAAACCCATCTTGGCAGACAGGCTAAACCAGGCTGAGAGTAAATAACTTGCCTCAAACCCATGGGTGGGTTAGGAGAAGATCTGCCCCAAGCATGTGAAGACTTCCCTCAGCAGAGTAGGCAGATGAGAACAATTTGTTCCAACAGCCATGAAGACAGATAAAGCAGATGCTATGGAGTGCTTAGAGCTTGGTCAGACATCAAATGACCTTGGGGTCACCCACCTCATCCGGGGCCTTCACCATCTATCTTGACTTTTGTCCTGCCACTGGATTTCGATGACTCTGGAAGAGAGAGTAAGGCTGACAACTTTGTGCAACTCTGACTTATTTAAATCCAATTCACTCAAAAGTCAAGACATCACCCCCAGATATCATTGGTCCTCTTCTACAACAAAGGACAAACAACAATAACATTTAATTACCAGAACTGGAAAAAGAAAGGATTGGAGAAGATGCAGCATATTAGGTTGAAGGGTTTTTTGGAGTTACAGCAAGAGGAAAAAAAGCTGGAAGGAAAAGCCACAGCAGGAGACTGGCTGTCTGTGTTATGGTAGTGAACAGTCTATTATGGGCTGACAAGAAGAGAGCAAAAGGTTTAAAAAAAAAAGACTTGAAGAAATAGAAATTCCTTTGGCAATACAAATAAGTGCATAAAACTGAGTATGCCTAATGCAAGGTTTATTATTCATGGCAATGTCTATTACAGCTTCTGTTTTCAATCACTTGTTTATTGATATGTCATATCTATATGTTTTTAGATTTCAATCATTTTTAAGGGAAAAAAAAGGTTTTCTTTATTACCTAATGATGGTCCCTCAACTGCTCCCAAAAGGAATGTCTAGAATGAAAAGACAGTGGCAGAGGCTAGGACAGCTAGTGGTGGTGAATCACAGAACACCCATTTAAAAGTAATCATTAGAAGGGCAGCTACGTGGTGCAGGGGATAGAGCACCAGCCCTGGAGTCAGGAGGACCTGAGTTCAAATCCAGCCTCAGACACATAACACTTAGCTATGTGACTCTGGGCAAGTCACTTAACTCCAATTGCCTCACCAAAAATAAATAAATAAAATGAAAGTGATCCATTAGTAAAGGTCATAGGTTCTTAGCTTAGTCTGTGAACTTGGGTTTTTTCTAATATTTTTATAATTACATTTCAATATAATTGGTTTCTTTTTAATCTTAAGTATTTTGTTTTATGCATTCAAAAACATTATTCTGAGAAGAGGTACATAGGCTTCAGCAGACTGCCAAATGAGTCCACAATGATGATGATGATGATGATGATGATGATGATAACAACAATTATAACGATGATGATAGCTAGCGTTTATATAGTGCCTTAAGGTTTGCAAAACACTTTATCAATAAATATTATTTCATTTAATCCTTACAGCAGCATTAGCAAGTAGGTGTCTCCTTTTTACAGATGAGGTACAAATCTCTCTCACACACATATACACACATACACAAGATTAAGAACCCTGGATCTAGTCCAACAGCTTTATTTTACAAATAAGGAAATTGATTCCCAAGTTAAATTACTCACCCAAAGTCACACACATAATAAGTGAGAGAAGCAGTGCTTAAGCCCAGTTTCCCTGACTCCAGATGTAGTTCTTTTTCCATTGCTTGCTTCCTTTTTTTTTTTGTATTTTTTGCATGTGATTAAAAATATTTTTTAAAAAAACCTTAGAATTGGAAGAAACCTCAGAGAACCATTTAATCCAACCTCTGACCCTCTACAGCACTCTCAACATATGATTAGCTTGTTTGAATATTTCTAGTGATAGGGTCCTCACTACCATATATAACCTCCTAAGTTTTTTATAGTTACTTTGAGTAATGAAAAAAATCCATTCAAACTGAGTTTTCCCTCCCAGCTGTGAAATTCACAACAATGTATCTACAGAGCCACAGAATAAAAAGGCAAATCCAGACTTCAAATTTTAGTTCAGAGAGATTCCAGTTGTGTCTGTGATATTTACAATGCTTTAAACTAATACCCTACCAAGAGCGTTGTATACACATGAACCTAATGTTCTATGAGCCAGGATCTATGTACTCTGGCAATCAGTATGGACTCATCAAGTATGAGCCATACCACACTAGGGTTTGACTTTCTTAATAGGGTCAATAGACGGAAATATCAGAATCCTATAAATATACTATACAAGGCATTTGAAAGACCCTCATGATGCATGCGTGGACAAGAGGAGAAGAGAAAGTATAGATTATAGCGCTGTTTGGTAAGTTCAAACTGGATGAATAACAGATACAAGGGGTGACAATGAATGGATTAATGTGAATCCAAAGGTAGGCTTGAAAGGGAGCCTCCTAGGATCTGTCCACAGTCCTGCTCTGTTCACCATTTTTTTTTCAATGAAGAGCAAAGGCACAGATGGCAAACTTGTCAACCTCGCAGATGATGCAAAATGAAGACCGACTAGCATGTTGGATAACAGAATTTTGGATCCAAAAAAATATTGACTATCTGGAATGCTGCTCTGACTATAAGGAAGAATTTAATAATGATTCATGTAAAACTATGTTAAATTGATAATATAAATATGATAAATACAAAAAAAAACTGCATAAGTACAGGATAGAGAAGGGACAGCTGAATGACAGTTTATGTGGAAAGACCTAAACAAGGTCAATATGAATAGACAGTGTGACCCAGCAGATAATGTACTCTTAAGCTGCATTAACAGAAACATAGTGTGTTGAGTGAAATAAGAGATCTTATCAACAGCACCTATAACTGGAATAGGAGACAGGCTGGCCACAAAAAGAAATCAAGGGTTAACAGAGAGACAGCTTGAATGTTCCAGGTAGCAGCACACTAAAGACCTGGAGTAGGGGATCTTAGCCTTTTTTGTTTTGTGGACCTTTTTGGCAGTCTAGTGAAATTTTTGGATCCCTTCTCAGAATCATTTTTTCAAATGCCTAAAATCACATACATATGATTACAAAGGAATCTGTATATATTGAAATACTATTATCAAAATATTTTTTAAAAATCATGTTCACAGACCTAGGTTAAGAATCCCTGAATAGAGAGAAGGGAAGGGAATAAGCATCTATGTAGCACCTACTATGTGACATGCACTGTGCTAAGTGGTTTACAAATATTGTCTCACTTGATCTTCACAACAACCCTGTGAGGTAGGTGCTGTTATTATCTGTACCGGCCGCGCCGACCTTGTGTCGGCCACGCCGACCTTCTCCTCCTGTAAGGAGCAGGCTACCAGAGTCATACTCACTTCCGAGTCTTCGGTCCTCAGCCGGATAAACACACAGAGACGAGCCATCGGGAGGCGCCAACACCAGAGCTTTATTCAGAAGCCATCACAGCAAGCCATCACAGCAAGACCAAGCAGCAAGGCCAGAGCAACAGAGCAGGAGCCAAGAGAGAGAGCACGTGATCTGACCACCTCGTTCCTAAGTACCTACTTAGCCCCTCCTCCCCAGCCCGCTTATTAGCCAATGATTGTAGGGTCAGAAACCGGAAGGGGCTGTCTGAGTTTAGCACACCAAGGGGGAGGGAGTGACGTAGGAGGCTAGGACAGGATACAGGAAGGAGGCGTCTGGGATTAGTGCATAGACAGAGTACGTGACCTAGGAAGTCAGACTCAGATACTGGGAGGAGGCCTCTGGGGTCAGTGCTGCACAAAGGGACCCAGGAAGTCAGGAAGGTCACAAGATGGAGGCGTCTGGGGTTGACTGTTGCATATAGGGAGGGGACTAAGCAAAGGGAACTCAGTCCTCTGCCGTCCCACTCCCACGTGGCACCGCCCCTTGCCTCAGGAACACAAGCTCTGGCTACTTCCTTGCACCCAGCTTATCTCACATGGCACTGCCCACTGCCTCAGGGCTTCTCCGTACCCATCCCATCCCAGTCCACCACGACTCTGCCTGCCACAGTCCCTGCCTCGACTTCCAAAATACCCAGATTCTACCCTACTCTTGCCACAGCGCCCAACTGGCAACTGCCAACATCAGACAGTCCCTCACAATTATCCTCATTTTGTAGTTGAAGAAACTGAATCTGACAGAGGTTAAATGACTTGCCCAGGGTCACACAGCTAGTAAGCGCTTGAGGTAGGATTTCAACTCAGGTCTTCCTGACTTTAGGCCCAGAGAACCATCAGAGGAAGGCCTTCAGCACATTGGATGGATCCTCTATGTAAGACTGGTAGAAGGACATAGGCAAAAGTCACAGCAGATGTGAGGAAGTCTTCAGGTTGTAATTTGACCTCATGAAGGGAGTATCCATATGGTAATAAAATCATAGGACCATTAAAGTGAGTGTACAAAACTAAACATTGTGTCATTATAATGACAAGCTCAGCATCAGAGAAGAGATTTTTAAAAATGTCTCTCTCTCCTTTCTTTGTAGAGGTGGAGAATTACGGATGAGGAACAATGCATATACTGTTAGACTTGATTGAGGCATTGTTCAGTTTTGTGAAACTTCCTTTTCTCTTTTTTACTCTTTGTTATAAGAGATGACTTAATGGACAGATGAGTGGGGAGGGTGTATTGGAAATGGAAGTGAAATTTAAAAATGTATATTGATACATTTTAAAAGAAAAAAGGTAGTAAGTGTACAAAACAATGTTGATTATACTACTCTACCTTGGTCAGACCCTACCTGGTGTACCTACCCGGTATGTTATACTCAATTTGGGTTACCATATTTTGACAAGCTGAAATAGAACCAAAAGAGAGTAACCATTATGGGGAAGGGACTAAAAACTGTGCGAGAGGAGAAATCTGAGAATTCATTGAAACAACTGGGAATGTTTCACCTGAAGAAGGAAAGATTTGGGTGGAGCGTGGCCTAGTGTGGAGAGAAGACATGACAACTCTTTTCAAGAATTTGAATGTGGGCAATAGATTAGACTTTTTTTTACTTGTTCCCAGAGAGAAGACCTAGCATCAAAGAGCAGAAGTTGTTGAGGGACAGATTTAGGTTAAATATGAGAGAAAACTGCATAATAAAAAGAGCTGTCCCAAAGTAGAACAAGCTGTCTCAGCAGGTAGTGAGATCTTCAAGCAGAGGCCAGATGATCATTTATGGGGTATGCTATTAGAGGGAATCCTTGATCTGGGTCACATTGAACTAGATGGCCTCTAATGTCCCTTCTAACTCTCAGACTCAATGATTCTACTGATTTCCCACTGAAATGCTTATAGGTTCTCTGGTTACGCAGGGAGCTGTGATTTGAAATTCAGGTCAGCAGGAATGTTTCCATAACTACTCCTTAGAGGAAATGAAAAAAAACAAAACTAGTCAGCTCTGAGTTATCAAACTAATGGAAAAGAAGAGCCTTAATTTAGCTAATGTAAGACAGTCAGTCATCTGCCTGGGTTTTCTCTTCTCCCTACCACAATGACACCTGAGTTGTGGATTTGGAGAGATGAACTAGAGAGCAGGAGACGGGGAAGTGTCGTTGAAGAGCTAGAGTGATGAATTTAGACACATGTCCCCTAGCCATTTGGTTGTAAGTCCTTTAAATAGCTCCTCTCCCATTCCTCATTTTGCCCTTTCTAGTTCCACCTAGATCTAAGAGTGTTTGAAGGACTCCTCGGAGTTCCTCATAGTATCGCCTCTCCCTATTCAGAGCCTTGTTCTTCATATTATAAATTCAGCAACCCCATCTATTATTGCCCAAAAACCCTACCATCAGTTTGGTATATATAGTAAAAACAGAGAAATGCAGAGGGACACAGAGGAAGAAGAGAGTTTGTGTAGCATCAACAGCTGGAGAGAGACTGTCCCACGTGGCTACACATAAGTGCAGCCTCTGTGAATCCAAGGGGTTACCATGAGACTTCTGCCTGGGGCTGTGGGAGCCAGTACACTAAAAGAAAATAGACTCAAGAAAGGATGCTTTAGGGGATGAGTTGCAATATTTTGTGAGTTTCTCAGAAAGGGTGTGAGATAATAGAGTGAGATGGGGACCTGCTGAGATGGTGAGCATAGCATGACAACATTAGAATAGTGGCTGAATGCCTTGTATCCATCATGTTTGAGGTCTTATGCATTCTTGTTACCCTCCCTTTGGGGATAGCATCAAGGGAGTTCTGATGTTTGTAGCCATGGAGTCATAATTTCATAGATTTTTGAGAGCTGGTAGGTTCATATAATTCAATCTAAAGGTGTTACATACATTTCTGGACTATCTTGTTGTCTGGCCAGGGGGCTGATATATGTGTACAAAGTATAAAAGGCTGTGATGATGTCCTGGACCAGGCCTAACCCAGGCTGGTCCAATAATTTAGGCTCAGGATTGAAATGCAAAGAAATACTCTTGAATGGTATATAATCAATAGAAAAAGATTTATTTAGCAACACTGGTAGGGATTAGACCTAGGATTTCACTAGTGTACAAAACTCTTTGGATGAAGAAACTCCCTCTACCAGTGCAAGTCAGAACCTTTTCTTCAATTTATAGTTTTAGAGGCTTGCCCAGAACACTGAGACATCACAGAGGCAGAACCTAAACCCCCATCTTCCTTGCAACAACAAGGTAGGTTTGCTATCCACCATGCCACAAAGCCTTAACAATATTGTAAAAGGATATTAACATTGATGAGCGAACTATGTTTCTCAGCATTCATCACTGTGACAGTGCCCAGTCAAGGAGAAGAATGAACTCCCATGGCAGTCCCTAGAGACTGAGGTATCCCAACTAACGGGCTGGGATTTTTTGTCTCAAGTTACCAGGAAACCACACCAATAGTTGAATCCCTGCTCCCCTGGAATGATCAAGTCCCCAAAATGGCCCTTTAGAAACCAGCCCTGTTAGTATAAAACAGATGTCACTCTTCACAAATGGTAAGACCTAGCCAGGGTCAGTGAATTGGTGAGCTTCTACCTTATCTTTCCCTTGTCTCAGGCCCACCATGCCACTTCCAAGCCATTTCCATGCCAGGCCATCATATGTATACCCTCTGTTCCTCCACTACTCTCTTTTCTATCTCTGAGAACAATAATCAAACATATATTAGCCTTCCTGGTACAAAAATATCAATTGTCCTATGATTCCAATTATGTCTACTCTGACTTATTTGGCCCTTTCTGGTCATCAGTCTTCAACATGTATTATATTTTCCTAGTAGATTGTGAGTTGTCTTGCTTGGATTCTCTTACTTGCTTGTGTGTGTATGTGTGTGTGTATTGTAACATTTGCAAATGTACATATGTAAATGGATGCATCTATGTATGTGTGTCTCTCTACCTTGGCAAAGGGCCTGTAACATAGCAAGTGCTTAATCATTGCTTTTTCATTGATTCATTCATCTATTTTGCCTTTCTGAGAACAGCTGCCTGAGTAACTTCCCCTCCACAAGAGCCAAATAATACCATTAGTGAAGAGTTCAAGTTATTGGAAATGTGCTACAATGTAGTACAATGAATGAGTAGGAGGCAAGTTTACAATTCATTTCCTATTTTAAATGGAAGCTAATTGAGAGTAACCAGTCCCCATAGATGAATGGAGCTGTTCCTCAGCATCTTCTAATAGCGCGAGCCCAAAGCTAAACGTTCTGGCTGTGAGACTAGAGTATCAGATAACAGGGTGTCTGCAAAACACAAATAATATGCCCTGGTTGGTTCAAGTTGCATCTCTCATGGAAATGCCTCCTCAAATGAGCACTGGCAGTAAGGTGGATTTGCCCCCATTGGAAAACAATAAGCAACTCAATGAAAGTATTTCATGCTCACAACCAAGAGATTCAGACCTGAATCCTTGCTCCAAGGCATTTCTTTAAATACTGGTGAGCAACCTTGTCACCTGAGACAAGTGCCTCATTTCCTTCCTATCTGATCCTATCAGAGAAGGTAGTTTGCAGCAAAACAGGGAGATGAACCACTCATATGAAATTGACACAAATGTTTCCAAGTGCTTTGGGTAGCACAATTTTTTAACATACTATACAAGTACATACTCACATGAATGAAAAAGTATTTCTTAAGCTCTTACAATGTCTATGTGCCAATGACTCTGCTATGTAATGGAAAATGGGTAAAGACTGAAGTGTTTGTGTGTATAAATAAATGTATGTGTGTATATACATTTTCACACACATGTGTACATGTGCATATAAACATGTATGTGAAAATATGTGCATACATATATACACATGTACATATAGACTTCCTGGAGATTACCCATTTGGCTATTGAAGATAGTTAAACATATTAATCAATTGCCCTAGGAGTCCAATCACATTTTCTCTGACTTCTCTCTCTGAAGTAGTACTAATAATGGACAATCTTTAATATGAAACAA